GGTCACGGCACTTAAATGAAATTCTCACGTGAAGAACGAAACGCAATGTAATAACTACTCAACCTTTTCCCCCCAAAATCTAAGCTATGGCCATTTTTTAAAAAGAAAAGCTATGTTTCAGAGTCTCCAGGGATAAAGAGAATCATGGTGTCTTGGGGCGCTGGATCCTGAGTCTTCCTCTAATCAGCCAAGAAATGTTGAACAAGATGTGTACTCCTCTCCTCACACTTGGCTTTCTTTTGTGTAGAAGTGGGACTGAACTCTACCTTGCACTAGGGTTACCAGGATTAAGTTGCCTCTGTTGACAGTGCCAAGCCCATGCCTGGTACATACACAGACAGATACAACGTTTTCTTTCTATTGCCATCCGAAATGTCAGACAGAATTGAAAATTACATGAAATCCAAATACCCTAAATACCTGAATACCAGGGAAACAAAAAGATGATTTAACAATCCACCCTACCAATTTAAGGATTATCGGGCAGCATGAATACAATAAACTGAGACAGTTAACATGCTCTAACACTTGGAGAACTCAAACAATGGAATTTGCAGGGTTTTTTGGTAATGCTAAAGAAAACAGTCATTAACCTACTCCTTTTACAGGTCATAAATGCCTATAACAGTAATTAAGCAGTAACTATGTGTCAGGTTCTGAACTAAGTACTTTAGAAGGATTATATTATTTAATCCTCACTAGCAAGTGGCAGAGCCAGGATTTGAACTCAATAATCTGATGCCAGAGCTCTTAATCATCCTGTTATCTGTCTACCTATTAATAAAACATGTGGGTTTAAAAACTTCATGGTAAATTTCCTTTGCTCAGAATAACCAACAACAATTCCCAACCTCCCGTTAATTTTTTTAATAACATGAAATACTAGCCGACTTTTGATAATTAAGACATTTTCCAGATGAAAAGCTCATAACCATCTATTCTGCAAAATATTTAGAGCATATTAAATCTGAATCTAAATCACAATATGAATCTAAATTATCATTACCACACAATTAAATTCCAGTCCTGGTAATATTTAAGTATCTGTTATAACTTACACAGAATATGTATTTTGTACACAGTAAGAACTCAACAAATATTTACTGATTAGCTATTTTTACAGCAGATAATGCATCAAATTATAATGTACAAAGATCTTCCATGGTCAAAATATTCATTTTGTCAGTAACTATAGCTAGAAGCTTTCTCTGGGGCTGAAGAAGGCTGTCTGGGTTATGGGCAATTCAAATGTTTATAATGTAATAATTAAGGCAAGGAAGAGAAGCAAGATGACTTTCAATTATTTTTAAAGAAAACAATAAAGATGACCAACAACATAGTGGGCAGCCACCGACCACATTCTCTTTCACCCAATTCTCTTGCTGCCTCCTAGAAAGGGAAGGCTTCCTCCAACTATAAAGATACTATAAAGGTATCTTTCGTCATTTGTCATTACTTAAAATTATTTAAAATTCCTATTAGTAAGTGAAAAACATTTTTCATTGAGGTTATATATTTTCAATGGGCCTTTCTAGTCATTTAATGATGAAACAATTTAAAAAATATAAATATTCTTGAAATTGCTCAGTACAGAACTCACTTCATTATAATCTTATGTTTGGCCTCTGGAAATTTTATACGAAGTCAGATTTGAATTCAAAGTAGAAAAAATGGAACTAAACATGCAAAAGTTTTTGTGAGGTGGATGGTATGTGTTTTTAAAGAAAGTATAATTGCTTAACCAGATACCCTTGTTTCTCTGACTGAAACATCAGTAAAACCAGATCCCAATCCAGAAAAGCCTGCTTTACCACAAACATATCAAATCTTTACTGGGCTACAAGGAATAGAGAACTAACCTCTCTTCCTAATACTATAATATTACAGTTTAGATAATGAAGTATATATAGTTATCTTCTCGTGAAATTTTACTCGAGAAGAATCTCCATTCTGAGGTGACGCCATGATCTTTCATTTGGTTTATTGTTTCTCTGGCAGATTCTGTCAGCACCATGAGCCACACGGAGTACTTATTCTGTAGTGAGGTTTATGAAGAAAAAAACCAAAACAGAACCAAAAACTTGTTCACTGAAAATAAAAAGTGAACAAAAAAGATGCCTCAACATTTCTCTAGTTTATCAGTAAATCATTGCTAAAAGGGAAAGGGGCAGGTGATTATTATATGAATAAAAGATGATTAATTATACATCAATTCTATTATTTCACCAACAGTATCTATCATAATTTTAAAAGATGATAGTGAATAAGTGGGTCATTAACTTGGAATACTTTAAAAACAACTCAACAGTAAAGATGATTAAACAACCAGTAATATTCCAGTCAAATGAAACATTCTTAATGAAGACCAACATTTGTTACATATTAAATTAGCTAGTTAGAAAACCTTTTTTTTAAAGTCAATAATTCAAATAGAAACTTTATATTAATTTTAAAAGTCTGATACCATTAATTTGGATCCGGCTCACCTCTTATTGTAAACAAGAACTGAGGTAGAAAAATGAGAGTCAGTAGCTAAAAGCCCAAACAATCGAAAATAGATAACTGAATTGTAAATAATCAAAAAATATATTTTCTACGGAAACCTAAACCCAGATTGTACAAAGGGCATCTACTCCCCATAATTCAACATCTATTTCTGCATAGTCTTATAAAGAGAAGATTTATACAAGTGTAACATATCAAACTTTTACACTCCAAAATATTCCATCTATACGCAAACTAACATGTTAATTACATAGTACCTTACCAACTCATAAGCTGAGGGCCAATGGTGCTTTATATATCGATACTTTGTATTTAGATTTAATTGCATATATCTGAAAGTAAGGAATTAAAATACAATTTCCTGTGTATACTTTTCAATGATTTTGATTGTCCTCCAATTTAGAAATCACTGACACTACTGAATGAAATTAAGTTCCATAAGATTGTAACTTGAGTACAAATGAATCCCCATTTCCCAGTGGTCACTGAGATGGCCAAGAAAATATAAAGGAAACCTTTATTAATATTATAACCTTGGGAAGGGTATCAGTGACACCACACACCCCAAACCTCCAGGGATTTCCATAACATATAGTAGAGAAGGGCAAACCTACCAGACTTACTGAATGTAAAAGAACAACTCATTTGTCTAGGAGACACAACATCTAATAGAAAGCACAAAGAATGGACTCAAAAAGTAGGCAGTTAAGTGCAAGACATATAATTCAGATCCCTCAAGGGCCTTTGGAAAATGACATACATAGCAGAGATTTAACCCAGCCACTTATTATCTAGGAATTTACACTAAAGAGAAAACTGGAGGGACTTCCCTGGTGGCGCAGCAGATAAGACTCCGCACTCCCAATGCAGGGGGCCTGGGTTCCATCCCTGGTCAGGGAACTAGGTCTCACATGCATGCCGCAACTAAGAGTTTGCATGCCACAACTAAGGAGCTGGTGAGCCGCAACTAAGACCTGGTGCAACCAAATTAATTAATTAATTAATTAATTTTTTAAAAAAAACCTAGACAAATCTGCAAAGATATATGTTTTATGATAATCACAATAATTCATAATAAATTAGTAATAATGAAAACTATAAATAATCTAAATGTCCATTCATAAGAAATTGGTATATGATTTTACCCAAATAATGGAGTATTATAATGCAAATTTTCACTGACATGGAATGAGCTCCATAATATGCTGTTGAAGGGAAAAAAAAGATTAAAAATAACATGTGTGGGCTTCCCTGGTGGCACAGTGGTTGAGAGTCCGCCTGCCGATGCAGGGGACGCGGGTTCGTGCCCCGGTCCGGGAAGATCCCACATGCCGCGGAGCGACTGGGCCCGTGAGCCATGGCCGCTGAGCCTGCGCGGCCGGAGCCTGTGCTCCGCAACGGGAGAGGCCACAACAGTGAGAGGCCCGCGTACCGCAAAAAATAAATATAAAAAAAAAAATAATAATATGTGTATTATGAATAGTTACACACATGAAGAGAGAGCTGCAAAGATTACCACCGAAACACAAATGGGAGTTGTCTCTGGGTGGCTGGCTATTTGATAATTTTTACCTACTTTTTATAATTATTAGTATTGCTTAAATTGTCTAAATAAATATATACTGTCTTTGTGATCAGAGAAAAAATCTCTTCATGTTGGAAAAAGAAAGTATATTTATTTTTTAATACCACAATTGATTTGGGAGAAATCATCTTAATATTTGGAAAAATCCATTAAGATATAGATTCAAAGATGTTTATCATAGCACTGTTTATAATAGTAAAAATAGTACTAAATGATCAATAGTGAATTTTTAAAATAAATTTTGGAATAACTATATAAAGGTTTACTATGAAGCCATTAAAAATTACAACAAAGATGTATCCATCACTAGCTCAGTGACCTTGGAATATTACATGTCCTCTAGGTATCAGTTTCCTCATCTGTAAAATGGTGATAAAAAGAACACTTATAGTATTTCCCCTAGCTTATTAGCTATATCCTATTGTCATAGAAAACAAAAAACCTGATGTTTATGAGCTTCCTCTAATATCACAAGCCCCTATTTCAAAACCTACTTTGCTATATGCTTTAAGAAAAAAAAAATCTCAAAATCAACATTCAGTTTGGCTATCAATCAAGCTAAGAAAATATGAATCTAAGACTACAAAGGCAATGTATATCAAAGTTAAAAATAGGGAATTCCTGAAACTTCTAGGCTATTAAACTCCTATACATATTCTCAAACTAAGCTTGTTTATTCACCTATACATGTAGAAAAAAATAGTGTTAGAAGATAGAAACAGGCTGATCTGGATGCCTGTGGCACTGAGACAGGCCCTAATAAATCACCCAGATTACAGTGACAGAGGGAACTGGCAACCCTACTTAACTAAACGATAAAACAATTTAAATACACATACTCGTTAGCTTCATCAGTTTTACTATCACTGTACAAACATCGACTTTGTTGCTTTGAAGAGTTGAAACCAACCTGCCATGGTCTTCCCCAATCGAGTGGAATAGGAAAGGCTCCAAGCCATGTTCCTAGAAAACTAGAAACTGTAGTGATCTGGAGACTATTCTCCCAAATGGATGTAACCCTATAAAACACAAATATATAAATTATTGGTGGTATATATCTTAGCTGCTGGGGAATCAAACAAACAGCATAAATTAACACTATACATATATATATGTTGTTCATTTAAAATAAGCATCGCAAATTGACACAAATATTTGCCATGAATCATTAACAATTAATTGGTAAGAAGATATAAGTGTTTTTCAGCTGGAAAGGTAATATATGCACATAGTGAAAATCAAACAATACAAAAGATTGTCTGCAATGAAAGCTAAGTCCTCCTCTCACCCTCATCATCAACTCTGATTCCTTTTCCCAGAAACAACTGCTATCACCAGCTTATTACATATCCTTCCAGAAATATTTTATACATACACAAATAAACACACAATTTTGTTTAGAATGATATGTGCACATCTGCATATATACACACATATATGTATATATCCTTCAAAACAAAACTCAAATGCACCATTTTATAAATCCAGTTTTGCTGTGTGTTTTCCCTTGTTAACAGTTTTACTAGTATTCTACTGTCCAAAGGAAGCAATCACAAAAGATCACATATTATATGATTCCATTTTTATGAAATGTCCAAAATACGCAAATCTACAGACAGTAAATAGATTAGTGTTTGCTTAGGGCTAGGGGAGGGGGAATAAGGAAGTGGCAGGTAAAGGACATCGAGTTTCTTTTTGAGGTGATGAAAATATTCTAAAAGTGACTGTAATGATTGTTGTACATATCTGTGAATATAATAAAAACTATTGAATTGTACACTTTATATAGGTGGCATACATGGTGTTTGAATTATATCTCAATACCGTTTAGAAACCCATCTCCCAGCTATCTCAGTTCCCCTCACGTATATGAGCCTCACCTTCCACATCTGTCTTAGCTTTCCAACAACCCTCCTTCATAATAACTTACAAGAGGCAACCCTTCCCACATCTACTTCCAAAAGCAAATTTCAGGTTTTGTCCAAGGAAAAGTGCCATATTTATTAAAATATTTATGCAATTCTTAACCATTTAACATGTATTAAACTGTCCTGCCATTTTTATTAAGTTCCTACATTTTTTAATGTGTTACTGACGAAGTTTTTGAGTGTTATGCCCCATCCCATTTTTCCCATAAGTTCTGTGTTTCTTATTGCCCAGTTTTGCATAATGCAAGGATTTTTAGGAATGCATATGCCATCTTATAGCAGAACTGACTATAGAATCAAATGACAGTATCTCCCCCAAGTACACCATTAATGCTATTATCAGAAACAGAATTCAAAGCTGGATAAATCACCAATCCAAACCAATAAGGTTTCAACTGATTTTCACTGTTTAAAAATGTCAAACTAAAATACTAAAAGAAATTAATGCCATTTGGGATACTATGGTAACAATGTGGGAAAAAGTGTTCAATGTGACACTTTTGTTTTCTTGAGACTTTATGAACACTAGAAGATGGTTCTGAAGGGGAACAAACAAACATTTCAAAAAGAAAAAGTCAGTAATTTATGGAGCCTAGCTACTCAGCAAGCATCCTCTGCTCCACTTGGGCTGTTCTCTTCCAAATCACATAAAAATACCATGTTCATTTCAGTTTCTATAGTTTCATTCATCCCATAGCACGGGGTGTCTCCCCTTCCCACTTAGTCTTACCAAATCTCTTACTCCTGATCCAAGTCCTTCATAGATCATCCCCCCATCCAGCTCATTCTTCAGTGGTCTCCTACCCTACTGAGTTCCTAAAACTTCATTGTTCGAGTTACACAAACTTAGTCTTATGTTTTTGTTCATCTCATCCTTGCCCCTTGAATGTCCAAGATCCTCATGGAGACAAGCATAGCTAATACATCAGACTCCACACAGAGTTTGCATAACACAGAGCACAGAGTTAAGGGCTCAAGAAGTTTTTGCTGCTGGGTGATAAACAAGACAAAATCATGGGCACCAAATAACTTTCTAGTTTTCTTAGTTATAACTCAACCATTTCTGATACAAATGATTTCACTGCCTTCCAAGAAGTGAAAATTTTAACTTAACGATGCTGAAAATACATACAGCTGCTAAGGGAATAAAATCCTGTAAAGGGCTTCCCTGGTGGCGCAGTGGTTGAGAGTCCGCCTGTCGATGCAGGGGACACGGGTTTGTGCCCCGGTCCGGGAGGATCCCACTTGCCGCGGAGTGGCTAGGCCTGTGAGCCATGGCCGCTGAGCCTGTGCGTCTGGAGCCTGTGCTCCGCAACGGGAGAGGCCACAGCAGTGAGAGGCCCACGTACCGCAAAAAAAGAAAAAAAAAAATCCTGTGAAACCTGCACTCGGATGTCTCACCACAAAAGAGGCTGAACAAGAAACTATAGCTGTTCCAATAAACATTTTTAGATGGTGAACCCCAATTCTACATTATAAGATGTACAGAAGCAATTTGATCTGTAGCAATTTTATCACAGTGATTAAATTATCCCCAAGGAGGGGTTTTCAAAGTTTTCTTTTGGTAACAGAAACCTTTTTTCAAGCAAAAAGCTAAGTGGAATTCTACCATACAAAAAAAAAAAAAAAAAAAAGCAGAGCTGATCTTGCTAACGTGGAGGGAGAGGCCTATAGTTCTGCCTGCTTGGGTCTCCCTCAAGTGCATGCCACCCTTCCCTGGCCCCCGTCCCCAGCTGCAGTGGGCCCTTACAGCATCACTGAGAAGCATACAGTGCTGAGAAACACTCAAGGAACAATCAGCAAGCTGCCATGAATAGAAAAGTACCTCATTAATTTTTTTTTAAATTTCAAACATCACTAGAATATAAAATTCAAACTTACCCATTTCTACTGAAAACTCTTAGCCATGCTTTGAAGTTTGGTCCTAACAAACATAAACAAGGTACAGTAGTAAAAGTGGACAAAGTAACTGCGAGTAAAAATGTTTCCAACGCCAACCTAGGAAAAAAACACTGTATTAATTTTTTCTTAAGTGTTAAAGATGCATATACACACACATGTATAATCTTTTTTACTTAAATAGATTTAGTATAAAACTATTTTCTTACACTTAGAAAGGTAACATGAGTCTTACCAAAACCATGACTATAAAAAATGTTACTACCAAAATGCAAGCTATAAAAAACAATCTAGCAAATATTTGTCTTTGATGATAGAGTTCAGAAGTGTTAAATGCCATACGATAGATACTGAGACTGTCCGTTGCAAGAAAACCCATTTCTAGATCATTAACTTTTTCCTCAATAGTCTCTGGAACTTTCTCTGCAATTCGTGGTTCAAATTTAGCTTATATCGGAACCACTTGGAGAACTAGGTAAATTTGTTTCTGACTAAGGCCTGAGAATTTGAATTTCGATAAAATGCGGATGTTGTTGGTTTTAGAACCACAATTGGAGAACCACTGCTCCAGACATTCATTCTACTCTAAAATGGATTACAGAGAAATTATCATTTCCCATTACAAAGGTCTTGTCCTCCCCACTCTAGAATATAATTACCTGTTAATCTAGTATGTGTATATATAACCAGGTATATATATATATGTAAAACTATACATATAGCTGTGTGTGTGTGTGTGTGTGTGTGTGTGTGTGTGTGTGTATGTATTGCATCACTCATTTCAACATGATCATTTATCACTGCTAAACTGAACTTTCCCAAACTATAATGGAACATTATATAAGACATATTAATGAATTTGGCTTTCACTAATTCAAAACTGTTCAGTTTTGAAAAGGTGTTGAGTTAAATTTTACCTTTAAACTATAAACATTAGCTTCTACGTAATTAAGTACAAGAATCTATTGACTTTTCTTAAGAAAACAAACTCTTTTCAAGCACTTCAGAATCACATTTACTATTTATAACTAATTTATATGTATCATTATAGTCAGTTTCCTTAGAGTTTCTAAGGGCCACACACCTATTGGTATGTGACAGTTTCTCATCTACCTCCCCCTTTAAGCAATTGCATGACAAAAGGCTACGTAATAGGAGCATTTAATGAATTAAGTTATTCCATTGTCTTTTAAAAAAATAACACTACCAAGGGCAATGATGTCAGTATCCTTCTGTGATCCACTGATTAAACACATCATGTTTTTTCTCTAATCACCAATAGAATTAGCACTTGGTTTAATAAACGACTGTTTTAAAATATAGTTGGCTTAAGGTAAAAAATTTCAGACTTACTCTATTAGTGGTGCTCCATATAGAACAAAAATTACATGAAAGGCAAAACAAGACATAAGAAAGTAGATACAGCATTTCAAAAATCTGGTTACCTAAAAAAGAAATGAATAACTTAAAGAATCAAGAGAATGACTAAAGGACAGCAAATGATTTGATTTTATCTACAAATACAACTTAGCCCTATAACGTGTGATACAGCTGAATATTCTTTGGATCTGCTCCTGAAGTCAGATCACATGTTCTTTGCACACCACTGTAAAAAAGCCACAAGACAAAAATCGATCCCCATGTTCCACTCACCTAACCAACAGCAGAATCAGAAAATGTTTTTGTTTCTATGCTAAGTATTGAACTCTGTTGTTAATCAGTATTTATGAAATATTTACCAATAAGTGTGCTAGGATACAAAAAAACACAAACACAGTCCTTCTTGTGTGATGATACATGAAATATTTATAGAAAATAATGATTATAATAATATTTTTTCATTTTAAAACAAAATTCCTAGGAAAACTGGACCAAAGAAAAGCACAATATTAAATAATTCCCCAAATCATATTCATGTTACTATATGATCCACATAAAAAAAGACCTGCATGTCTGCAAATCAGTGTGTGGGACCTACTTGAGTTCGAGCTCAAGAAGATCTAATAATAAAACACACAATGAGTGTTTTAAATCATAGGGCAGTAAATGTGTTTTAAATTACCTAATAAAGAACATACACATAGTATTGAATAATGTTAAGTGAGGACTTTATTAATTTAAATAATAGTCAAGTGTTACACTGTAGTGAATATTCCAGAAAATAGATTCCAATGTCTGAAAACTTCAACCGCTATTTAGTCAAGGAAGGCCAAGCTTGAAACAAGAGCTTATTTTGTAATTTATGAAAAACCCATTGTCTTTCAGAAATGCAAAAGATGAATGAAAATAAACTGAAATGTCTTATAAAATAAGATTTAAAGGTGTGATTGCTGTATTTATATATATTGCTACACTGAAGATATATTTATCTTCCATGATGACATGAAACATGACTATATAGGTTCACAATGCTATTCTATCCAATTAACATGGCAAGAATCTATCAAACATTGTAGACAGTCTTCCAGCAAGCAATAGGCTACTGACTAGAAAAAAAAAAAATCAGCTTCTTTATTCACTGTAAATAACCCAATAAGTACTTGACTAATACTTTATTCATCCAGTAATAAAAACATTACCTACATCTAAAAATCAGTTGTCAAGAAATAAGTCTTACCTTGTATGATAATGAACTTCTTTTAGAAGATGCATTTGGTTTCACTACTAAATACAATACTAAATTGACGGCAGTTACAGAAACAGAACAGATGCACAACCATGTCAAGTGTGTTTCCAGTACTGAGAAGTTCTCCAAGAAGAATGATGGAATGAAGATGCTTAGGATAATTGAAAATATGCATAATAGATGGACATATAGTAGTCTCTTGATGTCAGTATCTTTCATGGTGTTTTCTTGAGTGGCTATCTAATGAAAAACAAATTAAGAAAAGAGCATAGGCAATAATGACTTTTTCCATTGTCCTAAATGCTCCAACGTCTAAAAACAAGCCATGAACCAAAGTCAATTTTCTATGGGCAATAATGTCACAGTGTCAGAATATAGGAAGATGCATATATGTAAAAACTAATAGACTAATATAGTATAAACAGCTCACAGAGCCTGAAAAAGGACAAATTTACTAATTTCTTAAATATTTGTGTCTAGTTTCTGTAAAACAGTCATGTGCAAGGACTAATTAAGCAATTCGGTTTGTTTCTTTTTGCCAAAATCAGAGGTGAAAACAAACAGCATGTGTTAATGATTTGCCCTGTTGGAAATATAAGCTATGCTTTCTAGAAACCCCATAATACAATTTGGCTGAACTGTTGGCATTTTTATCATTATGGACCCTTGTCTAACATCACAGTAGTTCACATTTTCCAACAAATGCCAAGTAACACCAGGTACACACTGGAATGGTGGCCAGTGTTACCAAGAAGCTTCAAAGAACATTATGCTAAACTAAGGAGTCCCAGTACTGCAAAAATACCAAAATGACAATGTCAGTTACACATGCCAGATTCCAACCAAAAGCAGAGCATGAATGGAAGGTGGAAAAATATTTACGTTCCCTCTCTCTCTCTCTCTCTCTCTCTCTCTCTATATATATATATATACATATATAAACACGTTATTTTATATATGTATGTATTTACAAATTACCTAACAGATAGCTTATACATAGTATTGACTAATGTTAAGTAAGGACTTTATTAAAGTAGTAGTCCACATGTTACACTGTGGTTAATATTCCAGGAAAAAAAAAATATATATATGTGTATATTTTATAGACACACACAGAGCGCCCACTGGGGCAAAGGGGCGAATCCACGCCTTATAATAACACTCTCGTTTAATTCACACTATATTTTTACAAGGCAAACACTTTACTGATAAGGAAACAGGCTAAAACAGATTAGGAAACACTCCAAGGTCCCAAGCTCCCAAGTGCTAAAGCCATTTCAAAACCTAGCCTCTTTGATACAAAGATACGCACTAGGGTTCGAGAAAAGAATGCATGGCAAGAAAGGAGAAAGGAAATGTTTCTCACAGGTCCTAGCCTCAGCTGAGGGGCTGGGAAGGGAATCCAGAATATAGTCTCTCAATAGACACACCTTCAGATATTTTTCTGGGACACCCTCAGAATCGCAGCTGACTGAAGCAGATCTGGACCTAAGACAGTGAATGGTACCCAAAGTCGGATGCTTGCTGAATGACTGAATGAATGAACGAACGAATGAAAAGTTGGTCCAGTGTTGCCCCTCCTGAGAAACCAGCCCTGTGTTGGGCCCTGGCGAGCCCAGGAGGACTCTCGTCAGGTGCTTCCTCGGGTGGCCAAGGCCCCGGCCTCCACGGTCTGACCTGGCCCGAGTCCTTAAGCCTTGCAGCGGGAGAGAAGGTTCTTCTGAGCGGCTCCTAGAGGAGCCTTCGCGGGAATCGAGGGACCTTAACCTGCAGCTCCATCCCAAACTGGGTCGCTCCGAACTCTGCCCAAGCCTCAGCCGACGGGAGTGTAGGCAACGAGGGACGAATTGAGAAGCATAATCAAAGAGCACAAGCGTGGAGATCGAGAGAAAAGAAGGGACAGACACAGAATGTCGGACCCGAAAGAGGCCAGTCCATCACCGCAGCCCCTGGGTCACGCAGGAAGGGCGGCGCTGGAGGGGCCGGCAGGCGTGGGCCGCACGGACCGGCCGGGGGCAGATATTCCCGGCCAGTTGGGTAGCTGGCGGAAGTGGCTTGCAGCGCCGGGAGGCTCGCACACCCCGAGCCTCCGGCTGGGCTTACCTAACTCTCCCGCCCGCGGAAGAGAACGGAGGGTTTCTACCTCCCACCATCAGGTGTAATTGGGACCCTGTGCCTTGCGCAGGCGCAGGCCTGTGGGGAGGAGGCCCAAGGCCTCACAGCCAATCGCAGAAGTGGAGAGGCGGGCCAAGAAAGCAGCCCCGCCTCCCCACTCGCGTTTATTCCTCCCGGGGCTTTCCAGGTGTTGGATAGGCGGGGCGGAGGGCGGAAGGGCCGGAAGTGGATTTTCGTAACCCGGAAGGGGAGTGCTTCCCTGGCTGTATTGTTAACTTCTTCCAGCTGCCGCTCGTCCTGCGGCTGAGGGAGTGGTCGCGGAAGGATGGTGTGCGAAAAATGTGAGTTAAGGAGACTCTTCTGCGGGAGAAGGAGGCTGGGAGAACCTAACTGGAGTTCCCCGGGAACTTTGCTCTTTCTTTGTTTTTCCTTCGGCCACAGGTCCTTGATTCTAGCCTCTGTCCTCCTATACTGCCCTTTGACCATTCCTGCCCTCCCCAACGACCGTATCGTCCTGTATTTGCATTCAGAGTGGTCTCAGTTTTGCACCTCTGTTTATTTCCGTTGCTTCCCATCAACCCCGGGTATCATCCTGAACTGCTTCTTGACGGGCTTCCTCCCTTCACAGACCCGCCGGGTTGGAATGGATCTTAAAAGTCACTTCCACAGCATCTGGAGTTGATGGATTTAGTAAATAAAAGTACCGGACGCCCAGTTAAATTTGAATTTCAGGAAAACAACAAATAATTTTTAGTGTAAGTATGTCCTATGCAATGTTTGAGACTTGGCTCTGTTTACTGCTCCTCACTACAGTAAGTGCTTTGTCCCAAAGCACGCACTTTCAGGACATTCTTTACTAAAAAAAAAAAAAAAAAAAAAAAAGTATTCATTGTTTATATGAAATTTAAATCTAACTGGGTGTCCTGTATTTTATCTAACAAACCTAAGTCAATATCCCATCCAATGGCTTAAATGCTCTTTGCATGAATGCATAGAGGATTGAGGCACAGGGGTAGGAGAATCTCACCACCTTCAAAGCAGTCTGTGTAGATTTCACTGGCTTTTAGAAAAGTCTTTCCTCCCTATAGTTGCCATCCAGTGATTCTAATGCCAACCCTTGAGATTTAGAAAATATCTTATGGTATTTTGACCTCACAAACTGGTTATGTGTTTTAAAAGAGCTGTCATATCCCCAAATCCCTTTTTCCTACAGCTAGATATGTCTGACTCTTCTGTGACAATTTCAAGTCCTCTTATCCTGATAATTGTCTAATTAATATGATCCACTTTGTTTATATCCCTATAGTATATAAAACTTGGAACATAGATGCCCTTGAGTTTGAATCACAGTTTTTATATTAAGTGAAAGAATGACCATGGATGGTTACTTTAATAAATTCTCAGGGTGCAGAGAATAATTTGGGATTTCTATATTTGGAGCCTGGCATTCAGGAGGACCCTCCTCAGTGAGGCCTCAGCTTACCTTTTTAACTGCATTTTCACTAAGCCTTACCGTTTTCACTTCAGCCAAACCAAACAATATTTTGCCTGTATGTACCCTGAGTTTTCAATGCCTTTCCCCAGGATGTGTCCCTTATTGAGTTTACCTTCATCTTCTTTTCTCCTCTTTCTTCACAGTCTCATTGCCACTAACCCTCTCTATTGCCTTCCCCACAAAGCTTCACTGGATTTCCCTAGCCAAGATTATTTCTTCCTCCATGGAATTTCTCCTAGTACTTGAGCTCTCAATTGTCATACTATTTACTTTCCAGCTTATATTTTAGTTGAATAATTCTTAACTTTTTTTTGGTTCTCTGAGCCCTTTGAGAATGTGATGAAAGCTGTAGACTTAACATAGTTTATTAAAAAATGGATATACAAAAGGTTTGTGTACAATTTAATCTTGTTCATATATTTCCTAAGGTCTACCTGTGAAACTCAGGTTAAGGACTACTATTAGAGAAATCAGTGTGCTATAAATTCCTTGAAATCTAGAGCTTTATCTCATTTGTTTTATTTTTATCTGTACTTTGTACAATGGCTTATACATCAGAGATGCTTAGTAAATATTTATGGAATGAATAGATTTATCAGATTTGTTTAAAGGATCCATGTACAGAGGAAGCCTATTAGAAGCCATACTATTATCCACAAATTTTACTGAAGTCAGCTATCCATTGCCCATAGTTAATATCTTAAGTCTCAGTTCACTGGCCCCGACCCCAGCATTAACAGGCTTGTACATAATATGACTGGTGATGCCATCGCGAACTTTAGGCACAATGTAGTGTATTTATTAAATAGTAAACACTAATCTCCCTTACTTTTACTGTCTTGTTATAACAGGTGAAAAGAAACTTGGTACTGTTATCACTCCAGATACATGGAAAGATGGTGCAAGGAATACCACAGGTATTTTTCCTTTTAGAACATGGAAACTGAATCAGATACTTCTGTGAATAATGTTTTCACTTTTACATTATTTGTAAAATGATATGTTATGTGTACAATGTATTTTATCTGTTAAACATTAAGGAATACTAGATACGCCAACAATTTAATATCTTTTCTATTTAGTTCTCTCAGTGACATGTCAGGGTTCCTAATTTGATAGGCAGGAGATAGCAAAATATTTAAATGATTTTTAAGCAATGAGTATATCACAGTAATTGATTTGATTCAGCTTAATTAGAGTTAGTATTGAAAGCCCCCTCTCCTCACCTGATTTTTATATTCTTGAACAAATTATTTAAATGTTTTCACTTTCATAATCATTAAATACAGTGAAGATGTTTTCAAAGGGAAGAAAAAGAAACATTTTTACTGTATTCAAGATCAATGGCACCAAAGTAGCGGCATCTAGAGTTTACATTAGATATATGTAAATATAGACCCATTCCTAAAGTCCTACTTTGAGTTTGAGAAATAAAATGATTGCCTTTTATCCAAATTTTTATTTTCCTAGTAAATAATTGTGTGGTTTTTTTTTTTAAGTAGTGTCTTTGAAACCTGGTACTAAATGAAATTTTTTAAAATTTTGATATAGGCTAGTCTGCTGGTAGGAGGTCACAAAATGAACTTTCTAACTAATTGTTAAATGTTTCATGTATGTGTTAATGTGTGAAATGTGTAGACATAGCACACTGAAATACATGTATATTTCAATGCAGAAAGTGGTGGAAGAAAGCTGAATGAAAATAAAGCTTTGACCTCAAAAAAAGCAAGGTAGGTATAAGAGCATCTATAAAGCAGTCATATTAATTTGCACTCTTTTTAATATTAAGTGTATTGGAATGAATTTGTTTTGCCTCATTCTGTTGTGATAAAACATAGTTAGATAGTTCCAAGCATGCACAACCAAGCTGTCTGTTATAACCTGCTGATTTCACCCTGTTCATTTTCACTGTATCAATATATAAAGATATTATACATTATTTTTATAATTTCACCAGAAAGCATGACTTATTTTTTCTAGTTCTTAATTTTCCTGCAAATCAGAGGCCGCAGAGAAATGTGGACAGGTCATGAGCGCTGGAGTCAGACCTAAATTTGAATCTAGATTTTGTTACTGTCTAGCTCTGTAACCTTAAGCAAGTTAAACCAGTTCTAAACTTTTCTGAACACTACTTTTTTACCTAGGAATAGGGATAAAAATGTCTCCCACCATAAAAACAATTTTTGACACCATACTCTATTATATCCAGTCTTAAAAATTCCATGAATCCTTCCAGCTGCCGTCCAATTTCCTTGCTTCCTTTTACAGAAAAAGTTTTCAAAACCCTTATCTAGATGGTACTTTCTCAGTGTCCTTAAGTTTTATTTACTCCTTCAGCCGCTGTAATCAGGCCTCCATCTCCACCACACTCCTAAACCTACTCTTGTCAAGATCGCAGGTGACCTTTAAAACTGATGGCTACTTCTCTGTTCTTACCTTATTTAACCTTTCGAAAACTCTCTTTTTTGCAACACTTTATTCTCTTGTCTTTGAGATACCACACTCTTCTTTCCTCTTAACTCACTAACTGTTCCTTCTCAATTGAGTGCTTCTGGTCTCAATCCTAGACTTTTTTTTTTTTCTATTTATAAATTTATGATCTCTCCTCAAGTGACTTTAGTCCAATGGCTTTAAATTCAAACTGTATGTTAATGAATTCCACATGTATATCTCAGTCCTGACTTTTCTGAGCTCCAAACATATATCCAGTTGCCTCCTTGACTTTTCCAATTTGATATCTGACAGGCAACCTCTTTTTCCTTCAGTCGAATCATAGTCTTCTCATCATTGCTCTATGGTCCAATCTAGCTGTGCAAAACTGGAATCCCTAACTGATTTCTTAATTTCCCTCACTTCCCATATCCACCAGCGAGTTCTTTGGCTCTACCACCAAAATATAGCCTGAATACACCTGCTTCTGTTCATCTCACTGCTATTACCCTCTTCTAAACCATCACAGTTTCTTACTTGGGTATTATAATAACTTTCTGTCTCCCTGCTTCCTCTCTGGTTCCCTATAGTTCGTTCTCATAATAACCAGGGTGGTCCTTTAAAGGGCATGTAACTCCTTTGCTCAAAACCTTGCATTGGTTTTCTTTTTACATTGAATAAAAGCTAGGTCCCATACCATGTTCTTACAGAGTCCTCTGTGATCTGGCCCCTCCTGCCTCTCTGACTTCCTATTGTGCCAACTCCTGCATCAGATATGCCAAGCCCACTCCCATTGGAAGAGGTTTGTGCTTACTACTCCCTCTTCCTAGAATGCATCGCTAAGAGCTTAACAGAGCTGGCTCTTTCTTGTTACTTGGGTCTTAGCTGAAATGTCATCTCCTCAGAGAGGGTCCCTAACCAGCACCTAAACTAATGTCTTCCTTCCTTCCCCTCATGTCCACCACAGTATCCTCTCTGAATTTTCTCTACAGCAGGTATTACTATCTTAAAAGTGTGGTTGTTTTCTTACTTATTATCTGTCTCCTCTCACTAGAATGTCAGATTGATGAGGGCAGAGGCTTTGTCAAGTTCATCTTTGGTATTTAATAATAATAATAAGGCTTTTAATACGTAAAATGCCCGACACATAAAGGTGCTTATTAAATAATGGGTATAAAATAGCATGATAGACTTAAACTTCAATGCATTGTCACATTATGTATTGTTGACTGACTTATTGATGTCTTCTAAGACCACGAAGTTATTATTGACCAAGTTGTTATGTTTTACAGAGTGTATAGTTTTAGGTACTTCCAGTTCCTTTATGCTCCCAAACTTACTTCAGTGTCATTAATAAGTAGCTATTACTTTTGGGTATTTTAAGTATCTCACTTTGGAAAGTGTACGTAAGATTTCTGAGACATTAAAATGTACATTTTAGAATAAAATATGGTTTTAAGAAAAAGCAATCTCTAGACATGTAGGTCCAAACAAATTGAGCTTATTATTAAAAGGAAGAATAGTGTCCACTCTTAACTTCTCTTGTGGGAAGTAAAGTGACATTCTTTTGGATTTGGAAAAATTAACCTTTAAAAATGAGCTGTTGTATCATACCCAAGAGAAGAAACCAGGTCTAGGACAGTGTTGGTATTCAGTATATGAGTACGGTTACAAAAAGTTATTGCCAATTTAATGGGAAGTATTTCCTCTAAAGTTATTTTGCCTTCCAGTCACTGTAAGGTCACATTTTTTTTAGTAGAAACTTTTTTATCAAAAGGGATTGCATCAGTTAATTGAAAATGTCAGTTAAAGTGGGCAATCATTAAAAGATACACATACTTTATTTTAAGTCAAAGCACATAACTGTACATGCATTCATCAGTCATTTGGCATTGAGACAAGGCTTTTTGAATATGAGTCTACTTTATAATTTTCCTTACATTAATCATAACCAGAATATATATTTCCAGTATCTTTAAGGTAGAGCAAGAACTGACACTTGTAAGGTGCCAAGTCCTTCCACTTAGGATTTTTCCTCAATTTTTAAGTTTTCTTACCCATGCCTAATTCCATAGCAGTTTTAATGATTCACACGTACCTGGTCATCCTAAAGTATTCATTTAGTTTTTAATATAATCAATCACTCTTTGTGTACTCTCATTACATGAGTTTCCTTAATATTATATCACATGAATAGATTGACAAATACAGCTGTTATAAACAGGTTTGGGATTACATACAGCTGACTCTTTACAAGCATACAGCTTACATGGAAGGGGCAGAAGTGTGGAGACATATTAAGAGAGTAGCCAGTTAGAAGAGTGCTATGCCTATCAATTGTAGAGCTTGATAGAGGGAACAGAGAGCATGAATTAATCACATTTGTTACTTAAGTGAGGTTATTTAAGAGTATTTCTATTGTATTGTACATTTTTCTTTCTTTAAAAAAAAACTCTAGATTTGATCCATATGGAAAGAATAAGTTCTCCACTTGCAGAATTTGTAAAAGTTCTGTGCACCAGCCAGGTTCTCATTACTGCCAGGGCTGTGCCTACAAAAAGGGTAAGTTTCCTTTAATACCATTTTTGAATTCATATCAAACCTACTTCTTTTGATACTGATTTGGATAACATAGTGAAGGAGTAGCCCTTCGTAAATTAGTCAAATGCTCTTTTTTCTAAGGCAAAATAAACTTAGAACTTGTCCTAGTTAAAAGTATATATTTTCTTTTTTTCTTTTCTGATGCTGTTAAATTATGTTTTAAGCTTCAGGAGTGACTTAAATAAACCAAATCATTTGTATTGGTTAGCTAGTAGATTAGTATTATTAGTTATTATTAAGGTTTGATTACTTACATGAGTTTTTTGTTTGTTTGTTTTAGGCATCTGCTCTATGTGTGGAAAAAAGGTTTTGGATACCAAAAACTACAAGCAAACGTCTGTCTAGATGTATTGAAGTTTCTGGCTTTCCGTATGATTTTACTTTTTGCTTGAATTTTCAAGGCATAATATAGATGTTAAAGTTACAAAATAACATGTCTTAAGACAAGTTTAAACCAGGGAAGTAGATTGGTATTCAGTTTTGTGCTCTCAAGAAGTTCTGAACAGCAGCAGTGTAACTAGTTTTTGCCTTAAGTTTTTATTTTCCTTACAAACATCTTATTGAACTGGGATAAGTGACAAATTTAACGAAAAATATTTTCCCAGTTCTGTATGCACTTTTTATTTATCATTACTCATGTAATTTTTATTATCCTTTCCCTCTACTTTATAGATATTGCAAAAGTGTGAGAAGGAGGTTATTAATATCTGGCTTTGAACTTGGCATCCAGATTTGGAATTTTTCCCTCATTCCCTTTTGGTTGCATAGTTCTTAGGATCAGCAGTCCCTTAATTAATTGCAGCTTCATAAGGCATTTAAATATCTGAGATCATTATTGCTAAATAGTTCCTTAAGTAATTAGCCCAGGCCCAAATCAAACAAAAGTTGTATTTATGTTATTTTTTATTTGTTCTTGAAGCCAAAGTGCCAGTATCTTTCATATGAGAATGGGAATGCAAGGAACACTCCACACAAATCCAAATGAATACACTGGATTTCAGAAAAACACACATTACACATATTACCTTGAATTCAGACCATCATGAAAGCCAGGAGAACAGTGTGCATCCGTGATGATGTGTAACGAATGAATCACCATTCCTTGGGAAAGCGCTTTGAAGCAGAAACCAAACTTCTTTTTAACCTCCTCCTCTTCTCCTTCCCCCACCAAAAATAAATAGACTAAGCAAACATTTTGACTCTTTTTTTTTTTAATATATATATATAACATAGACTGCTGAAAGACTACTTTGAGGTTTCTTTTTCTTTTTAATTGAAGTAAAGTTGATTTACAATGTTGTATTAATTTCTGCTGTACAACAAGTGATTCAGTTATACATATATATACCTTCTTTTAAAAATTCTTTTCCTTTATGGTTTATCACAAGATATTGAATGCAGTTCCCTGTGCTATGCAGTAGGACCTTGTTGTTTATCCATTCTATATATAATGGTTTGCATCTGCTAACCCCAAAATCCCAATCCATTGCCCTCCCCACCCCACCCGCATTGTTTCTGTTTCTTAGATAGGCTCATTTGTGTCATATTTTAGATTCTACATATGAGTGATATATGGTATTTGTCTTTCTCTTTCTGATTTATTTCTCTTAGTATGATAATCTCTAAGTCCATCCATGTTGCTGCAAATGGCATTATTTCATTCTTTTTTGTGGCTGAGTAATATTCCATTGTATATATGTACCACATCTTTTTTATCCATTCATCTGTCCATGGACATTTAAGTTGTTTCCATGACTTGGCTATTGTGAATAGTGCTGCTATGAGCATAGGGGTGCATGTATCTTTTTGAATTGTAGTTTTGCCTGGATATATGCCCAGGAGTGGAATTGCTAGATCATATAATAGTTCAATTTTTAGTTTTTTGAGGAACCTTTATATTGTTTTCCATAGTGGCTGCACCAACTTACATTCCCACCAACAGTGTAGGAGGGTTCCCTTTTCTCCACATTCTCTCCAGCATTTATTTGTAGACTTTTTAATGATGGCCATTCTGACCGGTGTGAGGTGGTACTTCATCATAGTTTTGATTTGCATTTCTCTAATAATTAGTGATGTTGAGCACCTTTTCTTGTGACTGTTGGCTATCTGTATGTCTTCTTTGGAGAAATGTCTTTTTAGGGTTTCTGCCCATTTTTTGATTGGGTTGTTTGTTTTTTGGTTATGGAGTTATATAAGCTGTTTGTACGTTTTGGAAATTAAGCCCTTGTTGGTCATGTCATTTGTATTCTCTCCCAGTCTGTAGGTTGTCCTTTTAATTTTGCTTATGGTTTCCTTTGTTGTACAAAAGCTTGTAAGTTTGATTAGGTACCATTTGTTTATTTTTGCTCTTATTTCTATTGTTTTGGGAGACCTTAGAAAACATTGGTACGATTTATGTCACAGAATGTTTTGCCTATGTTCTCTTCTAGGAGTTTTATAGTATCATATTTTATATTTAAGTGTTTAAGCCATTTTGAGTTTATTTTTGTGTATGATGAGAGGGTGTGTTCTAACTTCATTGATTTACATGTGGCTGTCCAACTTTCCCAACACCACTTGCTGAAGAGACCGTCTTTTTTCCATTGTATATTCTTGCCTCCTTTGTTGAAGATTAATTGACCATAGGTGTGTGGGTTTATTTCTGGGCTCTGTATTCACTTTGAGGTTTCAGACAAAGATTTTTCTTATGCTACCTTCAGAGGTACAGGACTTCTGCTTTTGAAACCTGCAGCTTACTGTGGAACACCAAAAAAGTATTCCTTATTGCCAAGTGCAATATAAATACATAACACTATAAAATGGAAGAATAAGGCAACATGATGATATATATGGTATAGATATCACATTTTTATTTGTTTTAAAATACTATGGAAAGTATTTAAAGTTTTAACTGTTTAATTTATCTATAAGGTTTTTTTCCCTAGGATACATTCTTATTCTTACCCAGAAAAATCGTAAGGGTAATGCAAAATATAATAAATAACAACAGCTCTGAGGTCAGGAAGTATCTTCTCATGCTTTAATTGGGGATTTTAAACTAAAATCAATACAAGGGACCCATAATAGGACCTGGTTAAGAGAGTGACCCAGATCCATCAACAGCTGGGTTGGTCAACTTTGGGAAACTACATTTCTCATGTATCAGCTGGGATCTGGACTTCCCCAACTCATATTTCATATTCATGCCTTGACTAGCCTTCTTCTGTAAATGATCCAACAGCCAGACTGAGGTTCTCCAATGAAGATATTTGTCAGTATTATACCTCAGTATAGTTTAAGTATTATAAACCTTCATATTGCTGAAATAACAATATGACTCCCATAAATTGAATAGAAGAAGTTATTAAATGAGGAAGAAATTCCCAAAATAAAACATGAACATAAAGTAGTTTTTAAAAAGAAGACGTAAAAACAGAATAGATAACATTAAGATGACAGGATTAAGATCAAACATGGCTTTTGTTAGAGTAAATAACATGTTTTTAAAAAAATCTCAGATTGTATTTAATATGTGTATATGTCAGAAACAACTTAAATTCCAACAAGAACACTTCTTAAGTTCATTCATTCATTCAAATATGCAGCCATCAAAATGGTACAGGAATTACATATATGTCCAGAAGTTTATATATACAGATAGAAGACATCTGAAAGCTACTAGTGCTGTTTTTCTCTTTGGGGTGGAACTAAGGGTTGAGAAAAGAAAGACAACCCTTTACAGCCTCATGCCAACTACCTAATACTTTTTAGCTTCTAGTTCCCTTACCTGGGGGAACAGGAGAGTACTAATAATTTTAGTATCTTAGAAATATATATTTACATACATAGATATGTATATATATTTTTTGAGAATTTCAAGCAGAAGAAATATATACATTGTTCTGCATTTCAACTTCTTAATGTTTCTCCTATTTACCATTTTCTCTCTATCTCTTGTTACATGTTTTTTGTCTTGATCACATGATGAATACACTGCAGACATCATACCCTTTAATACTACATACATACTTCATAAGAACAAACATACTAAGTTTGGTTATCAAATTCAGGAATTTAACATTGATATAATACTTTCATCTAATCTGTAGTCCCTATTCCAATTTAATTTGCTGTTCCATTGGTAGTTTTTGTTTTCAGCTACAGGGTGTAGTCCAGGATCATATGTTAGATTATCATGACTCTAATCTGGACCAGTTCTTCAGCTTTTTTTTATCTTTTATAGTATTGATTTATTTGAAGAATACAGGACAGTTAAAGTATAGATGATCCTTCTTTTTGGGTTTTTCTGATTCTTCCTTATGTTTAGATTCAGGTTATGCAATATGGGCTGAAATACTATGAGTGATATGTCCTCCCAGGGTCACATCCAGACTCCCAGAATGTCCCATTGCCTATTATTGGTGATGTTAATTTGATCACTTGGGTAAGAAGTTGTCCAGTTTCTCCACTGTATAGTTCCCATTTTTTTCTTTTGTGATTAGATAATTTGTGAGGAGAAAGTTTGAGACCAGGTTGATTGATATTCTGTTCCTCATCAAACTTTCCCCTCCTAGATTTAGCATCTTTTGATAATTCTTGTCTGAATAAATTTTTACTGTGCTGTTTACAAAATTGATTTTTCTAACACATTATTCTTTCTGTATTAATTAATTGTCATTCTGCTCTAAGGAAAAGGTTTCCCTTTATCTATTTATCATGAGTATAGAATAAGTGCTTTTTTTCTGACCATTTGAGTGTTAATTACAGATAATTCCTCTTTACCCCAAATACTTAAGTGTGTATTTTCTAAGGACAGGGATATTTTCTTCCATAACCACAGCACAATTATCAAAATCAGAAAAT